CAAATGATGAGAAACTCTGGGCCAACCAAGAAGGGAACAATATAATCCTCCAGTCTAACTTTGGCCTCAAAATCCTTTATGATTCCTCTTCTTATGTCTTTGTCTCCGTACCTAGTACATATCAAGGACATGTCAGTGGCCTATGTGGTAACTTCAATAATGATATGTCCGATGATTTCATCCTACCAAATGGGAAAAGTACCCAGAATATCGATGAATTTGGTATCGCTTGGAAAGTTCCTATTGGTGGCGTCAGTTGTGTAGATAGCTGTGGGGAAAAATGCCCCATCTGTGATGCAACAAAGACAGCGCCATATCAGCCGGAGAGTTCCTGTGGAATAATAAAAGCCACAACAGGCCCATTCAAAGATTGCCACTCTTTGGTGAATCCTGCTGAATACTTCAACAGTTGCTTGTATGAAATGTGTGCATCCAGTGGTGCAGGAGAGACCCTCTGCCGGAGCATTCAAGCTTATGTCGCTGCATGCCAGGCTACTGGAGTTGCAATTGGAGCCTGGAGAACAAACACTTTCTGCCGTAAGTTTTCCCTTTTATGTTATAATACTCTGTTAACACACTGCACATCAAGACTTTAGATGTTTTTCTTCAGATTTCCTGAGTCCATTGCCTTTTGGAATTATTAGATTCAAGTGGTTTGGATTTTAAAGGTGATTATCTATTTTTTTTTTTACTTGAATCAGCAAGAAGGATGGCTACTGCACAATGGATGAAGGTGGCTGAAGGGCTAATGGGATTCTGAGCCAAACATTGTTTCTGAAATACTTTAAAGTTAGCCTTAAGTGAAATGTTTTTTGGAGAGTGCACTATGAAGACAAGGAGCTATTTCATTCATTCATCTTCTACTTAATGTTACGTCAATAGCTGCAATATTTCTCTTCTACAATGGAAAGATTACACAGCTCTGCATTTTAAACTATAGCTAAGTATAGCTCTCTGTCTGTCTATCTATCCCAGTGGTTCCCAATCTGTGGTCCATGGAGCACCAGTGGTCCACAAGAATGAAAATATGGTCTGTGGCCTCACCATTACTACACTGTTGCCTTGAAACCATGCGGCAACGAGAGTGACTGGTCTTGCGAAACCCTGTCAAAATGCTGAGGCAATGGGGATGTCGGGAAAGGAGAGGGTGACTACCCACGAAAGTGCTGGCGTTAGCCTATAAAGCCCTTAACGATTCCAGACCAGTTTACCTGTCCAAACGTATCTCCCACTATGAACTGCCGTGAAGGTTAAGATTGTCAGGGGAGGCCCTGCTCTCAGTCCCACCATCCTCGCAAATGCGACTGGTGGGGATGAGAGACAGGCTTTCTCAGTGGTGGCCCCTCATCTGTGGAACTCCCTTCCCCTTGACATCAGATCAGCCCCCTCCCTCCTATCCTTTAGAAAGCAACTTAAAACATAGTTGTGGTGCCAAGCGTTCAAACAATAGATGCAGCAATTGAGATTGATACTGACACCGTGTTACTGACAGTTGGTTTGACCTCGACTATGATTTGTATTTGCATGATTTTTAAATGAATGTTTTAATAATTTAATGTTTTAATTACTTTTTAAATTGCAATTGTTATTTATGACTCTGTTTAATGGCCCCAAATGGTTGACTGTTGTATGCTGCCCTGAGTCCGCAACCCCCCCCCCCCCAGGGGGTGAGAAGGACGGGATACAAATAAGCGAAATAAATAAATAAATACTACTACCACATCAGCTCTAGATTATTAAATATAGTTTTCTGTGGGCGAGCGGATGGCGACTACTGGATAGCATATGTTCTGTATCAGAAACTAGAGCTGATGTGGTCTATCCAATGCAATTTTCTGAATCAGCACCCGAAATAACCAAACTGAATCTAAAGTTGACCAAAAACTGGTTCACATCCCTTTTGGTACTAATGTTGGAGAGTGGTCCCTGTTCAAGTGCTCCCTAGTCAAGTGGTCCCTGGTCAAAAAAAGGTTGAGGACCACTGATCTATCCTCTCTATATCTCTCCACACAATCAAACCAACTGTGGTGCTACTACTCAGAACATATATTGTCTATTTTTTTTTAAAAAAAATGTTGTATGAAATTAACTCCAGACTATGCCTATAAGTATAAAGTGTATATGAAGTATAGATTACTTTAATGTTTAGACTTTTATCCCAACTTTAAGTTGTCTCATTGTGTACATGTGTCAATACAACTATTGCAAAATCCAGGAGAATGAAAATCCAAAACACTGCTGGTTCCAAGCATTTTAGAAAGAGATATGCAACATATATCAAGTTTAAATGATTATATGAAATACATTTTAAAATTGCATCTGTTTTAAAAAAATATTTACTGATTATAGCCATAAACTACCACAAACTATGGTCCAAATAATATATTATAATATAGATCATAATATAAGTTGTATAGAAAGTTTAAGAAGAATCAAAAGCTTCCAATATTAAATTTTTCAAGGCATCATACTTTCTTGCTATCAGAGCAAAATCTGTCCCACCTGTCAACAAAATATTTTTTCTGGCAATGTGTACCTTGTATCCAGTAGGAGTTATCCTTTTTCCTTCAGCTCTTACTACTAGTTTCCCTTTCTTTTTTTTGGCTGTGTTAGCTGTTCATCAGGGCCAGTTTTTGGTTAATTTTCCATTTCTGAATATTTTCTAAAAATACCTGCCTTTTATTCTTAAAAAAATACAAAAAATATTCTAAAAAAAAAAAGACTCTTCTGTTGGTGTGTGCTCTCATTTGCCCTGTCTCGTGGCTGTGTTTGGTCCACATCAGGGCCAGTTTTTGGTTAATTTTCCATTTCTGAATATTTTCTAAAAATACCTGCCTTTTATTCTTTAAAAAAAATACAAAAAATATTCCAAAAAAAGAAAAGACTCTTCTGTTGGTGTGTGCTCTCGATTGCCCTGTCTCCTGCCTGTGTTAGCTCTACATCAGGGCCAGTTTTTGGTTAATTTTCCATTTCTGAATATTTTCTAAAAATACCTGCCTTTTATTCTTAAAAAAATACAAAAAATATTCCAAAAAAAGAAAAGACTCTTCTGTTGGTGTGTGCTTTTGATTGCCCTGTCTCCTGCCTGTGTTAGCTCTACATCAGGGCCAGTTTTTGGTTAATTTTCCATTTCTGAATATTTTCTAAAAATACCTGCCTTTTATTCTTAAAAAAATACAAAAAATATTCCAAAAAAAGAAAAGACTCTTCTGTTGGTGTGTGCTCTCATTTGCCCTGTCTCCTGCCTGTGTTAGCTCTACATCAGGGCCAGTTTTTGGTTAATTTTCCATTTCTGAATATTTTCTAAAAATACCTGCCTTTTATTCTTAAAAAAAAACAAAAAATATTCCAAAAAAAGAAAAGACTCTTCTCTTTTGAATATAATACAGTGCTCGCTCATTCTTTGTGTAGTTACAACCATTGTGATGAAACGCTTCCTTCCCGGCTTTTCAAGTCGCAAGGGCCAAGTGCTATCGCGAATACCAAAGAAAGGCAGGGGACTGCAGATGGACACATTGAGCAGAAGGGAACATTCAACCGACGAGATGGTTATTGAAACACCCACAGGTGCTTCAACCAGCTGTGAGATGGCAGGACCTCCTCCTTATTCCTCAGTTCGAAAGACTCTACGTTCAGATCCTGATGTCCTTCCAAGTACCTCTCATACTACTTGTTATGAAGAGGAGGGCGAGGAGGCGGACGTGTCTGAGGAATGGGAGGAAGGAGACAACATGGAATCTGCTTCCACCACAGGAATTAGTGATCCAGAGGACTGCATGTTGCTGGAGGGCGAGCCACAGAAACAACCAACAATCCCTTCCACAAACACCGACAGTCCAAACATGAGCATGAGTACATCTCAAGTGCGTAGTAGGGGCAGGCCGAGATCGCTCCTATGGGATCATTACGACGTCCATAAGGAGAGGCCACTTTGGCAGTTTGCAGGCATTGCGGTGTGAGCGTCAGCAGAGGAAAAGATATGAGGCATCTTGCCACAACAGGGCTAAGGATGCACATTAAGATACACCACCCCCAAATGTGAAGTTGGTCCTTCTTACTTAACTTGCAATACTGCTACAGAAATTAGTATGTATGCTATGCAATACTTCCCAGATAATTTTCAGAGTTTTTTCAAAGTGCAATTTCTGTTACTTTTTGTTACTTTTTCTTTATTTATTTCTTATATTTACTTTCTAAGTTTTTATAATAACATTATTTTTATATATTAATAATTTATAATTTAATATATTATTTTTATTATTATTTATAATTATATTTTATAAATATTTTATAAATTTAATTATATTTTATTTAAATATTTATATTATTATTTATATATTATTATTTATTATATGTATATATATATAATTTTATATTTTTTATTTTATTATTATTTATTATTATATTTAATATATATTTTATTTATTTAAATTTTATTATTATATTATGTTTATTTCATTATATTATTAAATTGACTCAGTTTTGGATACTTTATCTTATTACTTTTTTATTTAATATCTTAATATCTTGTTCTATTTGATTATTTTATTTGATTTATTTTATGAAATGATTTTGTTTATAGAGCATTAGCATTGCGCAATCGCGTCCGCCGTTTTAACGAATCGATTCGTTATTATTTTAATAGCGAATCGATTCGTATTTAAAAACGAAGTTTCGGAAGTCGCTTTTGCGCATGCGCAATCGCGTCCGTCGTTTTAACGAATCGATTCGTTATAACCTTAACGAATCGACCCCGCGCCAATAACGAAGCTTCGGAAGTGTTTTTGCACATGCGCGGGGGTCCGCCATCTTAACGAATCGATTCGTAAATATTTACGAAATTTCGTAAATACCGAACTTTTTTAAGGGAAAATTTTGTAATTATTTTAAATATCGAAACAAAAAAACACCCCAATTACAAATCGATTTTAGAACCAAATTTTTTCTTGATCAACCAGGCCTAGTGTCTTCCAAATATAGTTTCTGTTACGTTTCTAAGTAGTCAACATGATTTTCTAAGTTTTCAGAGAACCGCTAAGTGGATTGCTGTGAGTTTTCTGCACTGTATGGCCATGCTCCAGAAGCATTCTCTCCTGTACTTTTCAAGGAGCCTCCAAGCAGAAAAATCATCACTATTATTCATTGCAATTATGATCCCAAATTGAAGTAGAGGCGTGGATGGCAAACCATTTCTTCATAGAATTATTTTCAAAATCCTAAAGGCAAAGGTTTCCTTTGACATAAAGTCTAGTCATGTCTGACTCTGGGGTGGTGCTCATTTCCATTTCTAAGCTGAAGAGCCGGCATTGTCCATAGACACCTTCAAGGTCATGTGGCCAGCATGACTGCATGGAGTGCCGTTGCCTTCCCGCAGAAGCGGTACCTATTGATCTACTCACAGTTGCATGTTTTCGAACTATAGGTTGGCAGAAGCTGGGGCTAACAGTGGGAACACATCCCGCTCCCCAGATTCTAACTGCCAATGTTTCGGTCAGCAAGTTCAGCAGCTCCATGGTTTAACCTGCTACACCACCAGGGGACCCTTTGTGCCAATCCTAGTCTTACAATATTTTTATTCTGAGTACCTCTGAATTTAGGACTATGAAACATTTGGATTTGCACCTACATGCATAGTCTTTTTTGTTTTGCAAGATATATTTGTAGAGTTCTCTTGATTTCAGTATGTGTTCACAAGTATTTACATTCCATTTTCAACATCGTCTCCTTTTTGATGCTGTGCATTTTGCAGGCTGGCGAAGGTATAATCTTAGAAGGTTGTTTGAAGAACTGCACCTGCCACGCTTCTGGCCAATTCGTTTGTGAGGAAACCAACTGCCCAGAAGGCGCCATATGTTCCCTCCATAACGGTGTGCGTGGATGCATGGGGCCCATGGGAGAGTGCATACTCCAACCTGGAGCACAGCTGACCTCATTTGATGGCACCTCTGGACAAATCCTCTCCGAAGGGATTTATGAAATAGCTTCTCTTTGTAATCAAAATGACCCCTTTTGGTTCAGGATTATAGCAGTGGTCCAAGTATGTCACAACTGGGATTTGGCAGCTGTGTCAACCATACACATCTTTTTCAAAGGAGTGTTTGTCACAGTGAAAAGCAGCAATGAAACTTGGGTAAGTGTCTGAGGCAGGATGAGATCAATTAGAGAAGCTGAGGGATAATGAAACGTATGATACTTCTTGCACTTATAAAAAGATTAAAACACGACTGCACTCCAAAATGGCTAGACTTCTATAATCTGAAACCGAGTAAATAATATAATATAAGTTCTTGTGGGTTAACAGACCTCACCTCTGAGGATGCTTGCCATAGATGCAGGCGAAACGTCAGGAGAAATGCCTCTAGAACATGGCCATATAGCCCGAAAAAACCCACAAGAATTTAGTGATTCCAGCCATGAAAGCCTTCGACAATATAATATACTTTGTTTATATTCTGCTCTATCTCCCCGAGGGGACTCTGCGTGGATTACAGAACACATATGTGGCTAATAATAATAATAATAATAATAATAATAATAATAATAATATTTATGTATACCCCGCCACCATCTCCCCAGTGGGGACTTGGAGCGGCTTAAATGGGGCCAAGCCCAGACAACATAGAACAGTAATAAAATCAGAGTATAAACAACAAATAACAACAACTTCATCAGAATTACATAAGTGAAAGAGAAAAAAAACCCAGTCATAAAATAACATTCTAATACACACAATCACAATAATGATGACAATGGGCAGGCCACATATATACAATTAAATGATTGTACTGAGATAAAATAGGAGCAGGACATTAACGGGGAACTCATAAAACACAGAGTTGTGAGGCTAAACTTCCAATTTGGAGGGCGCGAGCGCCAGTAGCAAAAAATGTTGAGGGGTGCAAAATGTCATGGTGTGTACCTACTCACCAAAGGCGCAGCGGAAGAGCCAGGTTTTAAGGTTCTTTTTGAATGTTTCTAGTGAAGGGGCTTTCCTGATCTCTCCAGGTAAAGAGTTCCAAAGTCGGGGAGCCACAGAGGAGAAGGCTCTCTCCCTTGTACCCACAAGACAGGCTTGTGAGATTGGCAGGGGTGAAAGGAGGACTTTCCCCGAAGATCAAAGGGCCCGGGTTGGTACATGGAGAGAGATGCGGTCACGAAAGTGGGTGGGTCCCAAATGGTTTAGGGCTTTGTAGGTGATGACCTGTACCTTGAATTGGGACCGGAAAATAAATGGCAGCCAGTGGAGCTCCTTAAACATTCAATGCCGTTATACGGTTGACAAGGACAGACAGTACATAAACAGAGGTATAGGCTTTTCCCATATTTTTCCATCTCTGACATCTGGAGGCTGTGCTCAACTCTTGCCACAGGGAAGTGGGGGGATGTGTGCTCTTGCTCCATCAAAAAATGTACACAGGAATACATATATTAGAAATGTTGCAGCACAAAATATACCTATGTTTAGGGTGCAAGATGAGAGAGAGTCCATAGTGTAATAGCTGGTCTATTTTAACCTTAGTTTTAACCTTCATTTTAACTTCTTTGGCATGAATTTTTACCTTGGCATTTAATGATGATATTTTTAATTGCCTTTTAACTTAATCAAGTTTTAATGTATGTTAGTTCACTATTACAGGAGTCTTAGGATAGTGATTAGTGTCTATTTGTGTACTTTTTTGTTTTTGTCTTTAATGTTGATATATAGTCAATGGAGTAGTCAATAAACTTTGCTTGCACATAGTTCTGAAGAGAGAGTCAATTCATTATGTAGGAAAGTTGATACATTTGGAAAATAAGTACTAAAATATAGCATTATTAGATGAAAGTATTCACTTTCATTCCTTATAACAAAATTTGAAAATGGGTATAAGAAACTTGGTGGAGGAAATTTGACAAACTGAAAAGTAACATGGATAGAACAAAAATAAATATAAATGGAAATGGTTGAAAAACACATGTTTTGAGTTTTGAAAAGAATTCTACAGTGATGAAACATTCAGGATTTTAATTCTCTTTTTGACATCTTTTACTTTGTTTCTCATTAATGTCCTTGAAGAATTTCCTCTGCCAATCACAGAGATTTTTTTTTTCATTTTTTGTTTGCAGATAATGCATTTTTGCATTCCTCCTTTCAAGTTGCTTGTCAGTTAGGTTTAATAGGGCTAATCTATTTTTACACTAAATCTTGACATTTTATTTATTTAGTATTTATTTTGCATATTTATATCCCACCCTTCTCACCTCCCGGCTTCACAACAGGCATTCATTCAATGCCAACAACAGTAATAAATGATAAAAGTAATTAAAACAATTTGTTAATGCTTTACAATTACTAAAACATTGTTTAAATCATGCAGGCTTGAAATCATAGTCCAGGTCAGTCCATTGTCATTCACACAAATTGAGTCTCATTCTAAATTGCTGCCTCTATTTGTCGAACGCTTGGTCCCATAACCAGGTTTTGACTTTCATTCTAAAGGACAAGAGGGAGGGAGCCAATCTACATGTAATGTCACTGGGTGGTCACAGGCAAGGGACCACCACTGAGAAGGCCCTGTCAGGGATGTTCTTCAGATTGTATTTAACAGAATGATTGATTTAATGCTCTCTTATTTTTGATAGTTGCCATTCATGGTCTGTGCCACAATCCACTCCTAGTGTTGTTTTTGCAGAGAGAATGGCTCTTTTCCATCTTCTATTTCCAATCATGTAGTCTAGCTGATTATAATATTAGTCATTCAGGTGATTCTAATACATACAGTTGCCTCTTTGATTGTTGGAAAAATGCAACTGTATACGTTAGTCTTACAAAATTCAAGTATGAAGTACTTTTCTGCAAACAAAAGTGCCTCTTAGGGCCCTTTCCACACAACCCTATATCCCAGAATAACAAGGCAAAAAATCCCACAATATCTGCTTCAAACTGGGTTGTCTGAGTCCACACTGCCATATACCCCAGTTCAAAGCAGATGTGGGATTTTCTGCCATGATATTCTGGGATATAAGGCTGTGTGGAAGGGCCCTCGGGCTTCTTGAAGACATAAAATGTATGTGTGTCTTCCATTTTGGAGATAACCAAGTCTTTTCAGCATATATTTTTTCTTCACTTCAACTCTAATCCGACACTTTGATATCTGTTTGTCTACATTTCAGGTAAATGGACATCGAGTATCACTCCCAGGTACAATATCTGAAAATATTTCTATAAGCATCTCTCGTCATGGAGTTGTGATTGATATGGGTTCTGAAGTCAAAGTTCTCCTCAGACCCTGTGGAGAAGTGAAGGTGGAAGTCAGTGAGAGCTTGGGAGGAAAACTCTGTGCCTCTTGTGGGAACTTCAATGGAAATGGTGCTGATGACCTGATGCTGCCCAATGGGAAGACAGCAGGAAACATTGCTGAAGTTATTGATGCCTGGAAGGCCATGGATTTCTATGGCTGGTGAGTGGTTCTGGACAGAGGTCTTTGTCATTTCTCAAAGAGTACGGCAGGGGGGGGGGGGTGTGTGTGTGAGAGGATTGCTCCACTCTTTGAATGGCAATCCTAAATTGAACTTTTATTTGGGTGGGGGGGGGGGGGTTGCCTTTGCCTTCTTCTGCAGTTGAGAGAGTGTGACTTGCCCCAGGTTACCCAGCCAGTTTCTACGGTTGAGCAGGGGTTCTAGCTCTCGTCTCCAGAATTACAGTCCAATGTTCCAAGAACTACTTTTCAATTGCTACCTTTTATTACATAGAGATACATAGAGATAGGGAAAAGTAGCATTTGAGAGCAGGTTGTAGCCATTTAAAAGCAGAAAGAATAATGAATGTACATACTACACAGAGAGAAAAATAATACATATAAACACTATCATTAAGTCTGTTTCCTTAAAAGTTGCACAATGATCTTATGAAATATTTGGATGATGCTCATAATATTTTTCATGCTTTTTCTTTCTTCCAGTAAAGTCTGAAAGCCACCTGAATCACTGTGAAGGTTTCCCTGTGGTCTTTATAACTAGTAGTAACTATAACTATTTAAACTCTAGAATGCATTTTTTCAGAATATAAGAGTTTCCAGGTATTGCATTTCATGTATCAATAAAAGATTTTTGGAAATCTGTTTGAGAGTAACATCAATTTAGCCAGAATTATTTCTGTTCTGTAGCACTGCTCTGAAGGTGATAGCTGACATAAGACTGTAACTGGAAAATGGACAAGATTCTATATCAAGGAGGAGGAAACTAAGATTCTGCCTGCACACTTCTGTGCACTTACAAGCATGTGGTCAGACACTGTGGCTGAAGGTCAAGGGACATGTGGCTGCCCACCGGAGTATGGCCAAATATGAAGCAATACCGCTATCCACTAGGGATGTGCATGACTCCATTTGGCAATACCACAGGGAAACTCATTGATCTGGCTGCCAAACCTCCAAAAACAGAGCAGGCTGGCGGGTGGGGGGGGGGGCAGTCGAAGTCTCAGCCGATACCAATCAATAACAGCTAATGGTGGCTAACAGAGCTGAGTGGCAGTCTACCTGAGGCAGAGGCCACACCATGTGGGCAGCTTCGCAAATCAGGCAAGAGCAGGGGTCTAGCAGCAGCAGCTCCTCTTCTTTCTTCCTCTGCAACCTCCCCATCCCTTCCTGAAGCCCCCCCCCCCCCCCCCGCTCTCAGTGGAGTAGCTGCTTGAAGCAAATTAAATCGCGAGAGAGAAAGGTTTCCCTTGGCTTCTCCTCTAAAAAGAGCCCCGCTGGGAATGACAAGCCTTTGGAGTTTCCCCTTTGGCAACAATGGACCGAATCTTACCGGCATGAAAACGATACCCCCCCTCCCGATTTTGGGCATTTCCCAGAAAACAAAACAAAGGGACAACCGAAAATGGGACCAAGAACGGTACAGTTTTTTCTGAATTTCATACTGGAGAATCTGCTGCTTTTGCTGGGGAATCTTTGGAAATTTCTGTTTTGGGGGATCTATTTGATTCTCTGTGAATATTTCTGTTTCTGTCGTATTTTTCATGTTTTTCTTTCTTCCAGTAAAGTCTGAAAGCCACCTGAATCACTGTGAAGGTTTCCCTGTGGTCCTTATAACTAGTAGTAACTATAACTATTTAAACTCTAGAATGCATTTTTTTTTCAGAATGTAAGAGTTTCTAGGTATTGCATTTCATGTATCAATAAAAGATTTTTGGAAACCTGTTCAAGAGCAATATTTATTTATTTATTTATTTATTTTACTATATTTGTATACTGTCCTTCTCAGCCCTCAGGAGCTCAGGGCAGTTTACAATGGCAATGATTCGTTGCCCCAAAACACCATAAAACAGGCCCGTAGTCAGGATTTCGTTTCGGG